GGGGGGGGGGGGGGGGGGGGGGGGGGGGGGGGGGGGGGGGGGGGGGGGGGGGGGGGGGGGGGGGGGGGGGGGGGGGGGGGGGGGGGGGGGGATGAGCCTCCTGGGTGACGCAATATGGTACGTAACACTATGATATTGGGGTGAACGATCCGACACAAAATACCGGTAGGTCTGAGTTGTGTGCGTGGAGATAATTGGGGGCCTAGTGTGAGCGCAATGCTGTGGCATTTCGTTGTGGTGCTATGTAGAGGGGAGCGGGGGCACCGCTTCCCAATGTCACGATTCGGGTGTAGGGCGGCGTGCACAACGGCAGCGCCACCAAAAACATAATGCCAACTTATCAAACGAGTAGCTCCCGTGACATGGAGGCAAGCATACACCGATCTTGCGTATTGTCGAGGTAAAAAAGTAGTGGGTGCGCGGACCTGCCACACACGAACGTGCCGATCCCAAGTGTGTGTAACTGGAACCACAATCTATCTACGAAGTAGCTCTCAGTTTGGGCCACAATTTCGCTGGCGGGTAGCTTGGTCATGGGCTCGACTGTAGAGGTGTGCAAGTGTGAGGAACCAAGCACCAAAAGCAAAAACAGTTGTGCCCCTTTGGTGTGGATCGTTGCAACTTGGTCATGGGCTCGGCTGCTGTAGAGGTGAGCGCGCGTGAGGAATCAAGCACCAAGAGCCAAGAACAGCAGTTGTGCGCCTTTGATGTGGATGACCGCAACTGCTGTCGACGACAAACCACATCCCCGCAACACTGGCAAACGACAAACACCCCTCGTCGCTCCACCCACCCCCAAAACCTCACCTTCCCAACGACAGTGATGCCACCCCGCCCGTCGAACGCCGCCGATGCGAAACGCCCAAGGTTTTGCCGGTGCCAGTCGAGCTTGCCGACCTCATCGGCGTACAGCCCCGACGCGCCTTGGGCCAGCAGGCCGGCAATGGCGACGGCTAGTGTTATCCGATGCACCATCTTCCGGCGTCGGCTCTTGAGCGCGGCAACCACTTTTGTGTTGTGGACACCTGGTGCTCGAGCACACTGGTGCTAATGAAGAGATTTGCGTTTACTCCCACGTAACACCCTGCCAACACGGGGATGGACGGGGGGGTTATTTGCGGGCAGGACGGGGGAGGGGTAGATACCGTATATGACACAAGATAACACACCCCCTGGAACGATTTTCAAAGCTCGACTACTCCACGACGAAGAGGATGAACTAACGAAACGATACATTTTCGGAAAGCTCTCGACGAGATGGTTTCAACGCCGCCGTTTTCGGCGCTGTGACTGTTCCTGCAGTTGAGAAATTGAGCTTTGTAAATCGGTGAAGGGGGTGTGTTATCTTGTGTCATGTACGGTAAGCCGCATGCCAACTGATGCTTCTGCCTCTGTGCCGGCCAGTGAATGCGCATTGAAATGGGAGACGGCCACGGCTTGTGCACGAAAGCGCCCCACTTGGCCACATGCAACACAAAGGCGCCTCTCTCTCTGTGTGTCTCCCAACTTTACCAGGCAGAAGAGATATGCGGCGGAATTCTTATGGTTGAGCGGAACATTCAAACCGCAGCCCCTTCCAATGACTCCATGACTCTTATTGTAGGCTCCCTCAAAGGGGGATTGTTACTCGCAGAGAGACAAAATCAGCGCATTCTACTGGGGATTCAACAAAGCTCGCTGGTACGGGTCGTGGTGGGACGGTTCGTTGTTGACGCGCACGGCCAATATCACCAGAGCACCATTGCCGCAGGTTCAGATCCCAATTGCAAAGCACAGCAGCAGGGTGCTGTAGGTATGCAACGCTAGGGAAGAGCGCCCCGCCTACACGCTTGCCTACGACACTCACAAAAGGAACTCGCTTCGGCAGTGGGCACAAACGCAGCGGCTCCCTCAGCGCCGCGTAAAAACGAACAGATCTACTGCTGTACACAACGTATTTAAGCACGAGGAACAACAGCCGGCCTCATCGTCTTGTGCTGGGAACCCGAGATTCACGGGGGTGGGAGGACACAGACCATTATCTCCCTCGGTTTGCCGTTTTACCGGCATGAGACAGCTGGAGGGAGCCATGCACGGTACACTTGTACACACCTGAGTTTGAGCAGTCGGCGAGCCACACTCAACGCGCTCCTGCACTATGTGTGACTAGGTGTGGCGGCGTAGTAGCCTATGACAGGGGGGCACGCAACACGTAGCCAAGATAGTGGAGGGGGATGCCGGTGTGGGGGCTGTGGGGGCGTGGGGACGTTGCTGCACAGCAGACAGCTTGCCACGAACAACAGCGGCTGGCGAGTGCTTTACAGCAGAGAGACGATGGAGGTTGGTGGAGTGGCCGAGGTGGTGGTGACGGAGAGCCAGAAAATTTGGCGAGAAGTGAAAGCATGCCTTCACAACGAGGATTTCGACAAGGCCGTCCAGCTTTGCAACGCAGGTGATGAAACCAACAAACCGCGGCGCTCCCATCGCCTGATTGCCCCACGTTTCAGAGAGTTACACACCGGTCGCCCCGGTGGTCTAGTGGGTAGCCTCGTAGCCTGCTAAGGGCCAGGTCATGGGTTCGAGTCCCGGCAGAGAGAGTTTTTTCTCACTAAATAAATCCTGGTCTAGGATGAAAGCGACGCGCTGCTCGTTTGTTAAATAGTAAACCATAATCGACTTCGTAAGTCGAGAGGGAACGGATTGCTGTACCCTTCTCGCGATAAAAATACCTCAGGCATGAACCGCAGGAGGGGGTCCAACCCCCCCCTCCTATGTGACCCCGGTTGGGTCGTCTAGCTAGTAGAAGTGGAGGATAGGGGCCAGCGGGGCAGACGACAGAGTCCAATGATGGGAGAAAAACAAAAACAAAACACATTCTGCTGTAGGGCCGTTGAGACACAAGCAGCAGCAGTGGACCTGTACAAGGTGATGCAACGCAATTTTCCCTTGCTGTCTTCTGGCGTACTATGCCCAGCTCTTGAAGCACAACGCGGTCACCTATCAGTGCTGTCAAGCACACCGCTTTGCTCTGTCGCCGTCCATAAGCGGCGGGAAACAAGGATTGTATCGAGGGATGCGGCAAATGAGATTGCGCACGAGAACCGCTACTGACATTACCACACTTACTGCCTAAAACAAGCGCTGTTATTTTTTTCGATGGTGTGTCTGGTGCGATGACCCACAGTCTACACGAGCGAGTCAGTCTACTGTAGCTAGCGAGTGAGGTCGGGCGTGCAGGGCGTGCAGGGCGTGAGGGCGGGTGGTGGCACGAACACGCCCCATCGCAATGCCTAATGTATGTCCAGAATGTTGTAACTGAAAGCATCGTACCGCCGTCCAAATGAGTAAATGTGCAGATGTCGGAGAGGACGGACGTAACGTGATTATTCCACGTGCAAACTGCACGCGGTTTCATGTGCTACCGTACGTCTTTGGGAGGTTCAGCGTCAGCCACCCTGTATTCTAGGTGCATGGACTATACCGTCGCACGAAAACCAAATGAATCAGGAGCAGACAAGCACTCCGTCGAGTTCCGTTCTGTTGGCGCGTACTGGAAAAACCAAATGAAACAGGAGCAGACAAGCACTCCGTCGAGTTCCGTTCTGTCGGCGCGTACTGGAACACTCCCTGACGCGCCAGCAGAACGGAAGTCGACGGAGTGCTTGTCTGCTCCTGATTTACTTGGTTTTCGTGCAACGGTAGTCGCACCTATAATGCAGGGTGGCTGATGCTGAAACTCCCGAAGGCGTACGGTAGCACATTCCCTGACGCGCCAACGGAACGGGACTCAACCAACGGATGGTTTGTGTTCCAGTCGATGTCTTGCCCAACCACCCGGGCGTCAAACTCACGGCTTCGATCATGGGCGGGGAGAGAACGTACCGCCTGCGGGCCGCGTTTAGCGCCTGCGGGCTGCGAAGGTTATCCTTGAATCATTGGTGGATGAGTGCGTGTAGACTTGGTACGCTCGTTGGGAGCCGCAACCCCAGCAGCGATACAATGTACCGTATATGACACAAGATAACACACCCGCTGGACCGATTTTCAAATCTTGATTTCTCAACAACAGAAAGAGTCACGGCGCCGAAAACGGCGGCGTTGGAACCGCCTCGTCAAGAGCTTCCCAAAAATGTATCGTTTCGTTTATGCATCATCTTGGTCGTGGAGTAATCGAGCGTTGAAATATGGTCCAGGGGGTGTTGTTGTTGTTGTTGTTGTTTCTCACATTTGCTCTATAGTCCACAAAAAATGGGGAGCCCGTGGTCTCAAAACCTGGCACATACGACGCCACGGGGAAAAAAAACAAAAATAGAGTATAAACCACTCGGAAAAAGAAAACAAAATGATGGAAAGAAAAGAACAGGAATCGCACCGACCGTTCGAGAAAAGAGCCCTCGGAAACCGATCAAAATATAACAAAAACTAAAATAAAGGAGGACGCTTCCCTCACCCGGCCAAAGAAAAAATCAAAGGGTAACGTACCAGCATCAGGCACTACGCACCAGGGCATGGGAGTGACGGAGCAAACAGGACAAAGAGGCGGCAGATGGGCAGACATAGTTCGCCACAAGTGCTGCCTCGGCCGCCCTACTCGCTTCTACAGCAGTGCCCGGTCGCCGTTTCTTACCCCCCACCGCCGCTTCCCCGGCTCTATATCTCTTCGGTCCTGAGATGACCGTACTCTCTGCTTCTGCTTCCCTCGCGCGCTGGCGCTTCCCGTACGCTTCCGCCTCTGCCATTTCCTTATGAACCATGCCGCCCCGTCCTCGACCTTGTTGTACCACACCTCCGGGTCCTTGGCGCTCGCTTTCCATTTACCTCCTTCCTTTCGT